TTTTTGTTTTTGTGTTTTTTAAAAAAAGCTAAAGTGGATAAAGAGAAATACTTTTAACTGATGGTATATGGAGGGGATTATAATCAATGTAATTAAACAAGTTATATGAATTGTTGAATGTGAAACTGATGATGTGCCCTGTAAACTTTTACTCAATCCACAATAAAAACCTTAAATATATATATATATATTTACTGATGAAGATCAAAGACTACTGTTTTCATTATGGATTTCATCTCCATGTAAAGAAAACAACATCCTTCACAACCGGGCCAGTAAATAGCATCATGATAAATGAAGAAAAGACTAAAGCTGTCAAAGACATTGTTTTGCTGGGTCTGCAATCACAAGTCATGGAAGCAGCAGGCAAGAAATCAAAGTACATATTGCATTAGGCAAATCTGCTTCACATGACCTTTATAAAGTCTTTAAGAGCAAACAAAAAAAAATCAGTCTGTGGACTATGGTGCCCCTGTCCTAAGCCAAGGTATTTTTAATAACCTCATATGGATGCCAAAGATGGACAATGAATAAGGAAGACAATAAAATAATTGATGCATTTGAGTTATGGTTTTGGAAAAGAATTTTGAAAGTACAATGGACTGCCAAAAGAACTAACAAATCTGTGTTGGAAAAAGTACATGCAGATTGGTCCTTAGGAGCCAGGATGTGAACACTTTATCTCATATTACAGACACGTTATCAGAAGAGATCAGTTATGGAAAAAGGACATCTTGGTAAAATGGAGAGCCAGTGCAAAACAGGAAGGCCTCCAATGTGATGGGTTGGCACAGCAGTAATATCAATGGGTTCAAGCATAAATGACGCAGGATGAGGCAGTGTTTTGTTCTTTTGTGCACAGGTTCCTTGTTAATCAGAACTAACTCATAGGCACATAATAACAACAACAACTTAAGTAATAAGTTTACTGAGGTTTTCATGGAATATGTCTAGGTAACAATTTGAAACTTCTTTCTCAATTAATAGATTTAAAATATTGAATATTCTATAAGCTAGTTGTGCAATCAAATGAATTATAGACCAAATATAAAATATTATTACCTGATTCTGGGTCCACAGAAAAGTATGGCTGTCCTTGCAATATACTGTAGACCACTTTAGCACTGTTTCCGTAGTTAGCATCATCTGCATCTGTTGCAGTCACTTGTATAACAGATGTACCTAAACATTTAAACATGTTTATATTTTAAGCTTTTTTATGAAAAATTAGTTTTGGTATTATGATGCTTTTTAAAAAATAGACATATTTGAACAATATTTTATCTTAAAATGAATATAATGGGACTAATGGACTTCATTTTTAATCAACTGAGAGTATGAGGACTAGAAAGCTTCCAATGAATAAAATGCACATGTAATTTAAAATTAATGTATTATTAAAAATGCAACATTTATAGCTCTACAAATGTAAAGAAGCCTGCTTTTATGAAGAAACAAAGAAAGAAACTATTCAAAATGCAACATTTATAACATTTCTGATGCTTTTTAATGGGATACATTAACTGTGACTGTAAATATAAAGAAGCCTGCTTTTATGAAGAAACAAAGATATAATCATATAAAATTAACTTGTGAAATATTTTACATACAAGGTAAATACTATCAAGAAGCAGCTCTGTCTTCCTTTGAAATGCAGATTGTATATGCATAATTATGCCTATTAATATGTTCAAAAAATACCAACAGATCTGTGCTGAAAGAAGTACAGCCAGAGTGCTCCTTGGAAGTCAGGATGGCCAGAATTCATCTTTCATACTTTGGATATATTGTCAGGAGGGACCAGCCTCTGGAGAAGGATATCATGTTTGGTAAAGTGGAGTGTCAGAGAAAAAGAGGAAGACCCCAATGAGATGGATTGGCAAAGTGGCAGTATCAGTGGGCTCAAACATAGTAATGATTTTGAGGTTGACTCAGGATTGCACAGTGTTTCATTCTGTTGTTCATAGGGTCGTTATGAGTCAGTACTGACCTGACAGCACCTAACAATAACAACATATTATGTATTTGGCATTGGAGAATGAACACTGGATTGTTAACTGCAAGGTTGGCAGTTGGCAGTTTAAGTCCACCAGTCATTCTTAGAAACACTATACAAGGTCTATGAATTGGAACCAACTGGACAGCGCACAACAACGTAAATAATCAGTAGACAGTTTCAAAGGGTAATAAAATACTATTTCATGTTATAAGCAGTACTATAATTGAACATTAACCACCATTTATAATTTTATTTTATAATATTATCTCAGTTTTACTATTATAAATCAACTTTTAAAAGTAAAGTAGCTTTGAGGACTTTAGATTCATGGATAGAGAAAGGCTATGTGTTGGCAGCCCGGAGGCACGCTTCCTTTGGTTGTTTAAATGGTTATACATTCCTGAGTGTTTTTGTGTACATCGCAAAAAAACAAAAACAAAACAAAACAGAGAATAGAAGTAAATACTGTTGAATGATGATGCATGGAGGAGAGTGTAATCATTGCAATGAAATGATGAGTGTAAAACCAATGTTCTCCCATGTGAACTATCACTCAATTCACAATAAAAACTTAAAAAAAAAAAAAAAGGAGCTTTAAAGAAACTAGTTTTAGGTGCCAATGATAATGAAATACATTGATGATCTTTTTATTATGTTCCCCTGGATCTCTATAAAGTTTCAAAGAATGGTTCTAAACACTGCTAGTTGAAGCTTGCTGTGTATCCCCTGCAGAAAACCGCATTGATTTTATGCTTTTCAGATGGATTGTTTATAATTTATCTCATTAGAAAGAATTTTTAATTTCTTAAGGACAGGAACGGTCCCACACTTTAATGTCACCAATTGTAATTTCCCACATTGCAATTAGAAAGAAAAAGTATAATAATAAAAAAACAAAACAAAACACCTTATCAATTATGATTTGGAGTCCTGGTGAAGTGCTGCGGATTAATGTGTTAGACTTCTAGGTTGGTTTCAACTGTAAGGTCAGTGTCTCAAGTTCACTAATCGCTCCTCAGAAACCCTATACTGGCTCATTATGAGTCAAAACCAATTCAGTGCCACTTAACAACAAAAAAGTAACAATTGTGCTTTAGTGAATTCTTCCCAATTTTTTTTTTAACTCAAAATTCCAAAAACTAATGCAGAGTTCACTATTGTAAACAACTCATTTCCCATCAATATATTTGACTACAGACACATGAATTTAACAATAGGCATATCTGAATATAAACATATTCAAATATACTTCAAAATAAGACATTAAACTCTTCTTCTTGATGCCTCTGCTTCTTAAACTTCGATGGAATTTACATGCCATGTCAGATGACACACTACAAAGTTTCAGTCAAACTAAATGTATTAACTGATCATTTAAAATCACTGTAGCCATGGTCTAGACAGATAAAGCAAAAGTGATTTTTTTTTAGTAACAAACATGCTGAATATTTCAAATAAATCACTTATCTGAATTACATTTCATTTATATTTTATGTACTACTTTGTCAATATAGGTCAGTCTAATAATTTTATTCACATTGGGAGATTTTATTAAATTGAGCATAAATTATATTTTGAAAATATAAGCAGTAAATGAGAAAATAATGAACATTTGTCTTGGTTGCTATTTTCATTTTCCTTTCACTGTGGTATCGTTTTAATTTTTACAACGGGACAGGACGTATCATTTCTCAGTATGTGTTTGACATTTTAATAATTTTTTTTTTGTTAAATTAAGATTTGATTTTTTTTCTCTATACCGTAGGTATGAGTTCTTTGAATTTCTCCAGAAATACATAAACAGGAATCTTTATAGTTTAAGGTTTTATTTCTAGTTATATTCTAAGGATATATTCTAAAGTAGAAAAAAAATCCTATGATGTGGCAAAAGACAAAAAAAACACCCTTATACACTTCTGGTACCACTCTGAGATCACAAAAATAAGTAGAGATGGTGTTAAAGACAGATAAAGCAAAATAATTTCTTATGGTTTATTCATGACAGCAAATATCTATTGCACAATAGGGAGTGGGAAGTTAATTTATGTAAATGGGTGTGTTTTCTCAGAAATTACTACACATTTAACACGGTTTAATAAGAAAATGACACTAGAAATGAATTAGGCTTTTACATTATATAGTTGTAAAGTGCCATTGAGTTGGCTCTGACTCATAGTGACCCTGTTATAGGGTTTCTGAGGAGCAGCTGGTGGGTTTGAACTACCCATCTTGTGGTTCAGACTGGCCTTGTAGGTGAGTGCTTATCCTGTAGTGCCACAACAGAACTCTTATAATGTTTATAAATGTTTAAGACACAGTCAAACTAAATACATTTTTGTAACCTGTGAAAAGCAGTTAGGGAATTCTAGGAGTACTAAGGAACTGGATAACTTATTGAGAGAATATTTAGGGGAAAGATCCAGTCATCCAGATATCACATTTTTAAAACCACTTCATTTTTTCTCTGGAAATATGTCCAAGTGAATCTGATGCATGCAAACATGGAGAGCTGATAGATACATAACCTTTAATAAATGATACAGTGGCCACAAGTAATAGAAAACATAAAACAAAACCTGGCATCATCATGTTAATTAAAGTCAAATCAGTTTTATGTCATTATATGTCCTTGTATGTTATCCGAATTATTGACTCTGGCCAGAACCTTTGTTGTTGTTGTTGTTGTTGTTAGGTGCCATCGAATTGGTACCAACTCATAGCGACCTTATGCACAGCAGAATGAAACACTGCCCAATCCTGGGCCTACCTTACTACTATTGCCATGCTTGAGTCCATCGATGCTGAGACTTGGCCAATCCATCTCATTGGGGGTCTTCCTATTTTTCTAGGACCCTCTATCTTACCAAACACGATATCCTTCTCCAGAGACTGGTCCCTCCTGACAATATGTCCAAAGTATGAGAGACAAAGTTTGACCATCCTGGCCTCCAAGGAGCACTCTGGCTGCCCTTCTTCCAAAACGGATCTATTGGTTCTTTTGGCAGCCCATGGCACTTTCAATATTCTCCTCCAAAACCATCACTCAAAAGCATCAATTCTTCTACGGTCTTCCTTATTCACTGTCCAGCTTTTGCATACATATGAGGTATTGGAAATACCATGGCTTGGGTCAGGCGTACCTTAGTCCTCAAGCTGACATCTTTGCTCTTCAACACTTTAAAAAGGTCTTGTGCAGCACATTTGCCTAATGCAAGACATCATTTGATTTCTTGACTGCTTCTTCTGTGAGTGTTGATAGTTGATCCAAGAAGAATGAAGGCCTTGGCAACTTCAATCTTTTCTTCCTTGATAAGAATGTTGTTTATTGGTCCAGAGGTGAGGATTTTTGTTTTCTTTACATTGAGATGCTATCCATACTGAAGGCTGTATTCTTTGATTTTCATCAGTAAATATTTTAAGTCCTTTTCACTTTCAGCAAGCAAGGTTGTATCATCTACATATAGCAGGTTGTTATTGAGTCTTCCTCCAATTCTGATGCCACGTTTTTCTTCATAGAACCCAGCTTCTCATATTATTTGCTTAGCATACAGGTTGAATAAGTATGGTGAAAGAATACAACCCTGTTGTACACCTTTCTTGAATGTAGCATACATCATAAATAAACCATAAGCCCATCAAGAGCCCATGGTGTACATCTCAATTAACTCACAATAGAATTACATGGTGTACATCTCAATTAACTCACAATAGAATTCAGTACTTTCTATGAAATTGTACAAGGTTAAGATATTGTGCAAGGTTAAGAGCCACAAAGGAGTCCTGGTGCGGCACTGTGGGCTAATGGACGTGACTGCAAAATCAGTTTGAACCACAAGGTAATTCAGCAGATTCCTAGGAAACCTAAACAGGGTCCTATCGGTCAGAACCAACTAGAGGGCACTTAGCAACAACAGAGAGCCATAAAAGGACTCCTGGTGTGGCTCTGTAGATCAGCACTGAACTTTTGTTGTTGTTAAGTGCCGTGGAGTCGGTTCCGACTCATAGCGACCCTGCACAGGGATTCCGAGGCTTTAAATCTTTATGGGAACAGAAAGCGTCATCTTTCTCCCGTTGAACTGCTGGTAGTTTCGAACTGCTGACCTTGCGGTTCACAGGCCAATTCGTAACCACAATGCTACCAGAGCTCCTTAGCACTGAAACAGGAACTAGAAACCAACATATCTGCAGTTTTAGCCCACCACCTGCTCCTCGGAAACCTGCTATATAGGGTCACAATGAGTTGGAACCAACTTGGCAGCACTTAACAAGAGTCATAAAAAATCAATAAGGAAGAAAGTAAGAAAGCAGATCCACTCATGTTTTATCTTAGGACTTTGTGATTCCAAAGGACTATTACATGATTTGGTAAGTCACATTATTTGACTGATTTCGTGAAATAGAAGTGTGTTTCTGTCAAATGCGATTTCATGTGAGGTTTATAGGAAAGAGCACCTTCTTTAAAAACTTTTGGTCCTTCAGGCTTCACAGCATAAAAAGCTAACAAGTATGTTTAGGATAATATCTCAGTAAAGGTGATAAGTTTTGTTCTCATATAGGACTTATTTTATACTGAAATATATTAACTACTATTATATGGAAATCATATACTTAAAAGTGATTTTGAAATCATATTAGACTAAATAATATCAAATTTGGGAAGCTGGTTACACATTTTGAATATTATGTTATGTTGTGTGCTGTCTAATCTATACTGACTCGCAACTATTTAGTACTGTGTAGACCTACCTCATAAAGTTTCCAATGCTATGATCTGTGGAATTAGATTGCCTCTTTGTGTTCCTGTCTAGTGGGTTTGAACCCTCAACTTTTTGGTAAGCTATTGAGCACTTCACCAACATGCCACTATGAAAATTATAGTATTAATATGACTGTTTTATAGAAACATTTGACATTAAGAGTTACATTTTATAGTCTCATTAATAAATCTGAACCTTTCATATCAACAAAGATGAAGGCAATCACACAGATGAAAACATGCATAATAAAAAGTGGCATATTAAAAGTGGTGGTGGTAGTGGTGGTTGTGTGCCTTTGATTAGGTTCCGACTCATAGTGACTCTGTATAGGGTTTCCAAGGCTATATAGGTGGACCTAGAAAGTTAAAACAATTATTTTCAATATTCATGAAAATCTCAATGTTCAACAGTGAAATTTGTACTATAATAACAAGTAGCATTGGGGTCTTATACTTATGAAATAAAAGATTTTGATGTTAATTCATTTGCTTAATCTTTCAAAACCTTGGGTTTCTAATTAGTAGAAAAGGGATTTAAACTTTTATATCCCATGCTTACCACATAAGGTTGTTTTAATGACCAAATAAAACAGCATATCAAAAGAAAATTTGAAATGCAAGCATTAGTTATTATTGAAATTATGGCATTCCCATTTTTTTCCAAAAACACTGACACTGTTTGCATATTTCTTTCATTTCAGGCAGAAATACAGTCAACTTGACTGCTGTATGTACTCAGTGCAGTAGATGTCAGGATGATGATTGGAATTTAATGCAATAACTAGTCTCAGCAATTATCATACATATAAGTTAAATTACAGCAAGTGACAATACCATATATAGAATTGAAAAAAATTAAAAGTGAGTTGCTTAAAACTAAAAAGTGGTTTCCATTAGTAGCTCTCCTCTAGAAAGATACCACGTATCATAAGCATATATCCATTACAATTACTTTGGCAAAAAAAGAAATCATTTTGTTTAAATAGATTCATATATACCTACCAACTCCAGACATTTCAGGAACACTGGCAATATATACAGCTTTGGCAAATTTTGGTTCATTGTCATTGATATCATGGATTTTAATAATAAATTCTGATTCAGGTTCCACCTGCCGACCAGTCTTTCTGTCTATAGCTTTGGCACGAAGAATGTATAAGGATTTTTCTTCTCTGTCTAATTTCTTTATAGCATGAATGTCTCCTGTGTTTTCATCTATAACGAAAAGACTGCCAGCTCCATCTCCTGTTAATATGTATTTTAAGTTTCCATCTCCTTTATCTTGGTCAGTGTGAAGCTGTAAAGAGGTAGAAAAGAAGAGTTGTATTAATATATGCATGGTTATTATAGAAATAACTAATGTTGACAGATATCATTTTATCCTCATGTAACAATGGTTATTTTGATAAGCATTGCATAAAATCTAAACATTTCAGAGTTAGTTATACTAGAAAACTAAGCAATTATATTTATATGTCATAATGTACATATTTAAAATAAAATGAAAGTGAATATTTTTTTCACAATAGTGTTGGGATGATAATTCTATTTAAAAAGTTACCAAAATATAAGCCAATAAAGGAATGTAATGATAAAATCCATTGTTCTGGAATTTGTGTACACTCTTGATATATACAGTTGATTACTTTTAAAATGATCAAACTTAAAGATAAGAGTAGTTTCTAAACTGATTATTCTGTAACTTTAGGATTTACACTTTAGTAGAAAATAAATTAATTTTACCACATTTCCACTTACTCCTAAAAGATTTTATTAACTCAGGCTCTTTCCTGAGAGCGAATAGAATTTGAAACTTAATTTTTTATTCTCTATATGACTATGGAAGAAATCCTTTAGACAATCATGCTCCCATTTTAGAAATCAATATATTTTATAAACTTACTGTAAATTTCATATCATATAAACCACAGAGGGATTTTTTTCCCTCCCTGTGGCCATATAAATACTTTCTTAAGAATTTGGGTGTTTTTCATAATGTGGCACTGTGGGCTAATGTATCAGACTGCAGTCGTTTGAACTTCAAGACCAATGGTTCAAACTCACCAGCTGCTCCTTAGAAACCCTATACAGGGTCACTCACTATGGGTAGGAATCAACTCGAAGGCACTTAACAAAAACAACATAAATTTTATTTTCTTATTTAATATGCTCCCATCTGTAAAAATTAATTATTGAAGTAGCCGGCTGATACTTGTGAACTTAAAATAGGCAAATGAACCATGCAATCATAGCAATTTTAAATTGGAATAGTTTTTAAAGTTTGTGCAATTCAAATATTATTCTGAAACTTTATTCTTAACCAGCCCATCACTCACCATGTTATCTTCTACCATATACTTCACGGTTTATTTGACACCCTGTCTCCACCTCTTTCTATGGTGCCCACTCCATCTTTTAATTATTTGACTATTCAACAGTTTTATTGTTATTATTATCAGAAAATTAGAATTATAAGTTTCAGGTTTTAACTATCCTTTACTTTCAAGCCCAATATCAAAACATTATTAACAGCCTTTTCTTCTGTGAAATGTTTTTCCCACCAAAGTTCCGAACTCCATTTCATCTCCATCTGCCACTCTGGGGCTGTCCTCCATTGTAGTATACATAGGCCAGTACAGAATTGCCTTGATGGTTGCCTCGACACGTGCTCTATTTCAAACAATTCTCAACACTGGAAAGAATGATTTTTAAGAATCACAAATCTATAATATTACTTTCTAGCTTAAAAATAGGTATAAAAATATAATGCATATGATGTTGTTGTTATGTGCCGTGGAGTCAGTTCCGACTCATAGCGACCCTGTACAGGGTTTCCAAGGCCGTAAATTTTTACGGGAGCAGAAAGCCTCATCTTTCTCCCGCGAAACATCTGGTAGTTTTGAACTGCTGACCTTGCAGTTCACAGGCCGATTTCTAACCACTACACTACCAGAGCTCCTTATAATGCATATGTAGCATGAGTTTAAAGTCTAAGAAATCAGAGATTTCATTGTATAACAATGTTACCTTGTTGTTGTTGTTAAGTGCCGTCGAGTCAGTTCCGACCCATAGCGACCCTGTATAGGGTTTCCGAGGGTGTAAATCTTTACGGGAGTAGAAAGCGTCATATCTTTCTCCCGCGCAGCGGCTGGTAGTTTCGAACCGCTGACCTTAAGATTCGCAGCCCGATTCGTAACCACTACGCTACCAGAGCTCCTTGTTGTTAAGTGCTGCCAAGTCAACTAAGGCTTATAGTGACCCTGTATAGAGTTTCTGAAGAGCAGTTGCCGGGTTCGATCTGCTAACCTTGTAATTCGCTGTCCAGCATTGATCCTACAGCACCAGACGGGGGGGTTATGTATTTCTCTAAGGCTTCTTGGTGTGGTGCTGTAGTATAAGTACTGGACTGCTAACCGCAAGGTCAGTGATTCAAACCCACCAGCCACTCCTCAAAAACCCTATACAGGGTCACTGTGAGTCAGAACCAACTTGAAGGGAATTAGTAACAAACAGCCTCCTTCAGAAAAATGAAATTTAAGAAGACATACTTACTTTCAGCATATTGTCATCGAAATTTGAACTGGAATAAGTCTTACAACAAACAGACTCTTAAGTGCTTGAGAGATGGTATGCACTCTATAGCTACATTTTTAAAGTAACTGATAATTTCACTAATCTCGAGATGCATTTCTTCCTTCTTTGCTGATTTGCTTACATTCTATATATACTGATTGCTTTGTTATGTCTTATTTTCCTTCACTTCACCAAAGGTTAATTCTAACTATAATTACTGATGTTTGCATATTCTTGGCTCACACTCAAACACATTCATTTCTTTGTGCATTTTGCTAGAACCAAATTATATTTATTTATCATGCTAAATTTTAAGTTTTATACTTGTTGTTGTTAAATGCTGTTCAGTTGGTTCCAACCCATAGCAACCCTGTATAGGGTTTCCAAGGAACAACTGGTGAGCTTGAGCCACCAGCCTTATAGTTCAAAAGCCTTTGCGTTCTGGCACATTAGCCCGCAGCGCCACACTAGGGCTGACTCTATACTAGTATAGCTGTGTCTGCTTTGTAATTCATAGCATCCTTCACTTCATTATCAAAATACTCATGAACTTTTGCATAAATATTTATTATCCCCACTAAGCTGTAAAACATAGGAGAAAATTATTTTTTCTTATAAATTACTGGACTTTCAAAGCATGCTATTTAAATGATCAAATATTTCTTCTTTTTAACAGCATCCTTTTATATCCATGAATGCTATTTGTCATTGATTGTTGCTGTTGTTATGTGCCGTGGAGTCGGTTCTGACTCATAGTACCCTGCACAGGGTTTCCGAGATTGTAAATCTTTATGGGAGCAGAAAGCCTCATCTTTCTTCCCCAGAACAGCTGGTAGTTTTGAACTGTTGACCATGAGATTAGCAACCCAATCCGTAACCACTATGCTACCAGAGCTCCTTGATTAGTAGACAGCAAATCTCATAAAACCTTCCATTTTATTTAAAATATATGACAGATATTTCTAGATGCAAATAGCAATCTTTTATTGACTGTGTTTTTCAAAGTTTTTCAAATAATATAAAGTATTAAAGAGCAAAGATACCAACTTGAATTAGTCCTCAAGATAAGGCACACCTGACCCAAGCAATGATATTTACAATAGAACTCCTGGTGTGGCTCTGTAGTATCAGGACTGGACTGGGAACCACAAAGTTGGCATTTCAAACCCACCAGATGTTCCTTGGAAACCCTGTACATGGTCACTATGAGTCAGAAACAACTTGATGGCACTTAATAACAACAACACATGCATGTGAAAGTTGGAAAATGACTAAGGAAGCCTGTTGAAGAACTGATGCATTTGAATTACTGAGCTGGAGACAAATATTGAAAGTACCATGCGCCTCCAGAAGAACAAACACATCTTTCTTTGAGGAAATACAGGCAAAGTGCTCCTTAGAAATGAGAATGTCGATACTTCATTCCCACACATTGGACATGTTTTTGGGATGTATCAGCCCACTGACCTTTCCAAAAAGGGTTCTTGTCTACGCTGATCAAAAATGATCAGGTTAGAGAAATGGAGTTTCACATGAGCAAAAGATTTATTGAGTGGAAAATATCTGGCAGAGGACCCTAGGAAAACTGTAGGGAATGCTTACTCCCATTCTCCAGAGCAAATGCTTTGCTGGGATTTTAAAGGTTTAGTTGCTGTTACTGTTTTTAAGTACCATTAAGTCAACTCCAACTCAGAGCGACCCTTTATAGGGTTACCTAGTAACAGCCGGTGAACTTGAACTGCCAACCTTGTGTTTTAAACTGACCTTGCAATCCAGTGCATTATAGCTACAGTGCCACAAAAAAATCCATGTGGGGAGCCATACCTAATGTCCCCTGGGTTCACATGGGGGAAATAAGGAGGTAAAAGATCTGAACAGAAAATACAAAAGACAACTCTAAAAGAAAGTCAAATATTATAATAAAAAGTGTGAAGACCTAGAGTTAGAAAACC